GTTTCTGTGGTTCGCTCGCTCTGATTCCGTGGCACGCCAACCCCGTAGCACTGCTTTTGGATTTACATGCCACGCAGGAATGAGTAATATCTACTTTGCATTTTGCGCGTGATTTTGTCAGTTGATGTTACATCCAGCGTATTAATAATGCAGGGCACGCGAGCCAAGTTTATACGCCTACGACACCGAAATCGCTTTTTATGAGAGAATTATTACACGCGGAACGCGAAACGTTGTTTTGCATGCCGCCGCATACATACGAGCGTGTCACGGAATTGACAATAATAAAATTTGTTCATGAGTGAAATATCGGAACAAGTGAAACATTGAAATGTCAATGTTCTAACGACGCAATATTTTAATTCAAACATCAACCATTTTTTTTTTCAAATATACCATTAAAACAGCGTGATAAAAAGGATTTCACGGAAAAATTGTGTAGATAAATAAATATGCATTAACACTTTTTATAATCCATTTTGTTGACGAAAACCTGGCTAAAACTATCTTTAAACATAAGGCGACTTAGCGATGATAATGGCATGCAATTCGCATCGCTTTCTAAAACAAAGTTGGCCGACAAAGAAATTTCGTTCGGAATTTGCAATTTTACAGCTTCTCCGAGCGACGCCTCAATTTTGCTAAAATATCCGTTAATCGGTAATCGTTAACGAACTTTAGCGTCTATTTACAGTGCCATTGCGTTAGGTTGAGAGATCTGCCTAACAATCGCATTGGACAATCACATAAATGCTATAACGTTTGACGCCAGAGATGATAAACTTTTCGCGATCGCGAGGAGGCGCGTTTATTCTTTTTACCCGTTCACTCGACATCTCGAATGACGCGCGCGCTGATAAAACATCGTGCAATCGTCGGCACGAGTCTGATGCGCGCGACTCGCATTACGAGTGCGGAGAGATAGCGAGCCGCAAAGAAATTTCGATGAGACACGAAGACGTCAGCAGCAGACAATAACTCGCGATCGAGAAGTCGACTGCTCTCACCTGCTACTCGATATTCACGCGAAATGGAACGCACCGCGGCCGGGTGCAATCGTTTCAGCAGCATTTCGCATCTCCAGAATTCAATACCGGAGGCTGACTATCTACGTCGGCGGGCCGACAAAGTGGATGGTAAAAAAAAAAAATGTATGGAGAGCATGGGGACATTCGGGGTTCCATCGTGATGGGCGTTGCGCAAAGTGTCGATTTCAAAAACGTGATAGCAATCTGACCATAATTGGAGCGACGTCATACAGCGCTTCCCGATGGCCTCGGGGCTACCCTTTTTCGACGATCATCTCGCGGTTGCTTTCATCTGTTGATAATATTGCCTATGGGACATGTTAATCGTTATGAGCTGATCGTGAGGCTTAATCTCGTTACTTTGAAGGGAAATTAACGGTCACGTAGGACGCCGGTAACTTGAATAATTTATCTCGCGAAGAGGAAGCACATTTCAAAATATACATAATCGCGAACTGTTTAATCTGACTATTTAATCTAATTCCATTTTTTTGTTGAAATATTCAACCTTGTATCCCGTTCAATGTTCTTTGCTACGGTTTATGTTAATCTATCATTTTTTTAATTATTTCCAAGTAAAAATTATATAAGCGTTCCAGAAAATTATAGAAATGGTAGCAAACATTCCGCGTATTTAATATTTACATGCATTAAAATATGTTATGACCGACAGAAAATCCAGAATAACGTACTTCAAATATTCTCGACCAATTTCGAGACTACTGATTTACAGCATTTTATTATAATCATTTGTTACATGCTGTATTTTCCGAACAAATATAGAAACAATAAATAACACGATGAATACAATGTATAATACATTAGTTGAAAACGTGAACTAATTCGAGTGATGTTTTTTTCTTTAAAACAAACAAATAAAAGATAATCATTATCCAATTTCTCCTCTATATCTCTATATTTCTTTTCTTGCTTTTTCTTTTTTATCTGCAATTTCCACCTTCCATTTACAAAACGTTAAACAAAATATACAGACTCTGATTGCATTACTGAGTAAATATAAGAATAGTTTAAATGAGGAATTTCGTTCGTGTAATCGATTTCATTTTATGAAAGTGCAAATATTAACGATGTATTTGGAATTCAAGATTGGACGTGTGCTTATTTTGTCGTGATGATTTTGTCTGTAACACATGTCATTGCTATTTTGTCTAATAAACGGAATATCAATAAAAAACAATAATTGATAAATTATTTAAAAGAATCATTAAAAAGTTACATTTCCGTTTTCAATCTTGTAACTCAAAATTGCTGTCTATATATATTATTATTACAAATGCAAAATACTTAAATTAAATATGCCAGCCACAATTTCTATTGCAATAGAAACGAATAACTAACAGCGTAACATAATTCTATTTCCGAATTGATTACTGAATTTGTTTCTATGAGAGAGTATAAAATATGATGTATACATTTCCAATTTTGATAATAATGTATAATGATACGTATTAATTTTAATTATTAATATCATATTGCATTTACGAAATTGTAAACTGCAAAATTTCGCCATTGTTCCCGGTAATAATGTACAAATCATCATATTTTCGAAAAGAGAACTTATATATGTAATCGAAAGAGATCAAAGCAGAAAACGCGTTTTCCGTCCTATTGACTTATTGGTGTTTGCAATGTTCTGAGCTTATCTTTGTTGCACAATACGTAAGGGCTCTGGTCCAGTCGATTCTATGCCTCGGCGAATATATATCGGACGGAGAGACGCAATTTTACGTCCCTCGTCGAGGACAAAGCCGCCGCCGACCATCGACCCCCTTGGCGATATTCTTCCCAGCCTTACAAGTGAAAAGAAGTACCCGCGAGATGAACCTTTCGTTATATAATAGAGCCGTCGAAAGAGTTCGGGGGACTGTGATAACAAGTCGTAACGAGCTTTTTATAACGGCTGTATGTGCGTGTGCGTGTGCGTGCGTGTGTGTGTGTGTGTGTGTGTGTGTCTTCTCTCGTGCAAAAACGTGACTTTCTTGAGCGCGTGCCTGCCGAGCTGACTCACACCTTCTTGACCCGCGAAAACAGCTTTTGGCATTGTTTACCCTGGAGTTCTACGACGAAGCCGACCTGTCGCGTATGCCGGTTGGTAAATTGGGTTATCACCGTGGGATCGGGCAAAGTATTAACAACTCTTTCGAGCAAGAACCGACACAGCCAAGCCACTGCTTTCATGATAATCACGGCCATTAGTGTGCGGGGGTCGCTCCTTGGAGCGGACCACCGACGGACACTGCGGTTTTTTGCGTTTGGAAAATAATCGAAGATATCTTCCGCATAAATGGCTTTTACGCAAAGTGTTTTTGCTAAATTATATCGTTTGAAAATGAAGAGGACACAAAATGACAAATATTAATAAAGAATTCGAAGAACAAATGTTAACAGGAAATTAAGACCCGTAATTTCATGTTATATCATATGAAATTTATATATAACGTAATCTGTGCGTACTTTTTACATTTTATAAAATAATCTTATACGACTAATTAAAAAAATTTTTTAAAGAGAAATTTTTTATTATAAATGAATTAAGATCTCTGAATGATTATCTCAATAACTGTATTGCAATTACATTGAAATAAATGAGCTTCTCTATATAAGAGCACTCGTAAATGCGGGCTTATAACCGGCTTTTGATTCGTTAATCAATAAATGATCATATAGGTAATTTAATTCGCAGCAATAACGAGATATTTGACCATTTATTGATTAATGAATCCAAACCAAAATTTTCGGCTCAATTTATAACCCTGCTTTAGTGATTGCGAATACCATTAAGTAGAAAAAGTTGATGGAAAAATATACGTAATGTGGAATTCAAATTTTCTCTTTACATAACAAGGACAACTAGCAATAAGGCAGTGGAGTAAACGGTATCGCACGGCCATTCCTGTTTATTATTAAATCGTACAGATATGTGTACAAGTTCCAGAATTGTAAATTTTAAATACAAACAAAATCATAAAATAAAACGTGGAAAGCCGAAGCGGGAGCTAATAGTTATTCTGTTCAAGCGAAGCCGCGCGTTTCAACGATATTTTCTCTCTCACAACTGTGGGGAACATATTTCTACGTGCACACAAATGTGCATGTATATTTGTTGTATATTGACGTTCTAAAAGTTGCATTTCAATTACATGTTGCTGGAAAACAGACAATTTAATTAAATCACCAGCACCACAGTTGTTTTACTGATGCACGATACTATTGCGATATATCGCAAGGAATAATTTCGCGGGATGGACAGATGCAACCTGCACGAAACATAGAAATATTTTCACGAAAATGTACGTTGTCGAGTCCGCGAGGAACACTAGTTAACAATCCGAACGGTATGGATCATCGTCTATGTCCATCAAGATAGGAAACTGTGACAGTATAAGGGTGCTGGGGTGACAATCAAAGTTAGGCCGGATATCGACGGGTGCTCCATAAATAAGCTTTTTTTTTACGCCGAGTGGGTGACGGCGATTGCTTTCGGCACTTTATCGGATATATTGTCTGGCAGCATGCGGGCACCGAACCGACAAATCCGACTGAGAAATGACATTTGAATTATTCGCATTCGATATTTCACTTTTTTTTTCCTTTTTTCCTAAAGCGCCGTGGCCCTTGCCGCAAGGAAATTACATTTTGCCAAACAACGAAAATATTCCCGGGACAAATAGGGCCCGTCACGTTGAGCGGTTTATATTGACGACAATACGAGCATATATAACGTCATAAAGAAAAATTGCATTTCAATTTTTTTTTTCGACGGAAATCGAAAAGTAAGCGACGTGTGCATATTGCGGCATATTGTCGGCAATGCTTCCGGTATTATTATATAGTAATACAAGTAGCCATTGCGTAACCAGCACTTTACATTTATCCTCATAGATTTTATACGGCAGAAGTGCATTTTGAAACATTTTAATAATAATAAGTCCAAACGGAACTTTAGCGTACCTGTTCGCAGCTTCGTTCAAACATTGCCCAGACAATCACCTGCAACACGGAAAAGGGAATTGTTAGAGAAAGAAATATTAAAAAAAAAAACGTTATTTAAAATGTATATTTAAATATTATTCGCAAAATTACGAGATTACAACAGCTTTATATCTTTTTGCATTTACATATGTATAATGGAAAACACTCTAATTATAATAATACCTTTATAATACTTATAATACTACTATAATACTTTTGCCGATTCATCCTCATTAAGCTTACGTATAAACTTTTATAACGACCAAAAAAAAAAGAGATGCGAATATTAACAGAATATCGGATATTTCAGCAAGGAATATTGAAGTACCGTTCTCTCGTAAATATGAGAAAAAACGCATTTCGTTTGCATGCAAATCGCAATTTCAATGCCTCTCAAATGCAAGCTACTGTGACATGGTATGGTGTACTATCTGTATATAAAAAAAAAATTGCTCTTTTTCTCTTTCTCATTTTTTTTCGACTATTATCATCGAAAAAGGATTTGGGTACTTCGGCGACTTTTAGTCAAGAATTTATTATAATCGCATTCCGAACGTCTTAGGGCAACGGCTGCAAAATAGCAGTTCTAAGGAGGACTGATTGAAACTCCGGGAACATTTGCCTCGTTGCCGAACTTCGAAGCCAATCGTCGCAAATAAATCGGATTTTGCAGTTAACGGTTTCCTTAATTACCCCATCTATCGCCTCAATAACGTCTAACGTCTCTGTTGTAAAGAGCATTGAAGTTTCCTATTACGCTAACATGAAATAATTCACTCTGTGTTAATGAAATTATAATTGTCGAATTCTACGTCATTGTTATTTTATTCTAGATAATTAAACGCAATGGCTAAACATTTGGTTTCGCAAATTTTTATTCTATAAATATGATTAGTTCAAAAATATATACTCTCGCAAAATTATGTAACTTTTTTAAAAAAATAAGAATTTATTTATAATTTTTTTCCTCAACTACGCATGCCTTATTCTTGTCATTATGTTGGCGCGTAATAAACTGTTAAATAAGAAAAGCAGTTCTTTGCGTTATAATCGAGCTGGGAGAATAGCTAGCCTGCTAGCCGTTGGTACATTATTCGTTCATCGTATGTGTGCGGGAAAATAGGTTGGACTTAAATAGCGAGTCCCTCGCTTCCTATCCTAGCAGCTTTGCATGTCCATGCAAATTTTAAAATCTGTATTTCAGAATGAATGTGCCAACACCCGAAATGGCGTGTTATGACAGCGAGGGGTATTCAGTTGATACGCGGTGTATTTTGTGTAATTGCGAACGCCGTGTATCACCAGTGTGTGGAAATTCACCATTTTACATAATGGAGTGTTAATTCGGTAAACGAGTGCCGCACGTACGCAGATTCACGAATTGCGCCAAGGGAAGGGGGGAGGAAAAAACAAGGGTAAAAAGGAGATAATTGTGCTTGTAATGGGAATTTTCGTACCTCCGCTTGATAATTCGCTCAAATAGAACAAATGGCCGCGAGAAACGTAAATTAATCCGCCTTCGCGGCAATAGTCGTGAGAAATTGCGACGCCATCCATTATGGCAGAAGTTCGCGAATTTTGTAGAGATTCTAGGCGGTCGGGAGAGAAATGTTGCTTAGAGCCGCGATACGGAAAACGTGCTCTATCGCGTGTTTCCCTCGCATTTTCAAATCCGCCCGCTTGCGTGTGCGTTTTCCGTAAATGACAGACAACGGTGACACGTGTATTTTAGGATTAGTGTTCTCGCGTGCGGCACTCTGTATCCACCAGCTAGGAAGAACATAAGCCCCATGACACATGTTCTAGCACGTACATTTCCTTCGTTGACCGCAATAAGGGCATGCCACATCGTAACTTAGACGTACAGAAAAGTTACGATTCGACAAGTACGCCGACAACCGAGAGTAACTATTGTCTACGTAATCAGATCGAGTTTGTGAAAGCACATCCCGATCGTCAATCGTAACTCGTAGGTAGATGGTGGAAGTTATGTAATTATATTCAGAACTCAAATGTCATTATACATGTATATATATATTACAAGAAATGAAGTTATAGCCAAGGAGAAATAGGCGCCGCAAGTAGAGTAGTTAATTATCTCTACGACAAAGACGAACATGCATATTCAGAGATTTTTGATCGTGATTTCCCTTGCGTAAAATCATAATATATATGTAAATCATTGATCATTTTTTTTACGAGTATTACAAAAGATGGAAACGTTTAAAATTAGGTTGACGACAGATAGTTATGTAATTTAAACTGATCTTACATAACTGATCGTATGTCAGAATTGTCCGGAATAAGTCAGCATAGTCTAGATTACGCCAACAATATTGCAGATGTAATCTCAGTAAGATATATTACACAGAATACAACGCAAACTGAAGCACGGAAGAGCAGAACATAGTTTAAGATATTTGAAAAAAAAAAAAATTAAATATCAATACTCTGTCAAAACGACGAAATTAAATAAAATAATATCGATATAAAAATCAGATGAAAGAAGCTTGTGTTATAAGAGAGATATCAAAACATAAGCTTCTATAGGATTTTCTTTTTGGATTAGGAAAGAAAAGCTCGAAAAGCCACTTGAAGTTAAGATTTACAATGTTCATTTTCTATCTCCGTGCGCGAGTTCTCTCTTGTCGCGGTGCAAGAATATGCAAAGATAACTTCTACCTTCTACAGTGCGATAAGCTTCTTTCTGTGCGAACTCCCGGACGTTCTGTCGGAAGTATGCTATTTCGGGAAAAGTACTCGTCTCCCGCGGTCATCTCTGTACACGGCAACGCGCAAACTCGCTCGTGCGATGGCACGTCGGCAGTAACGTCGAGAATGCCGAATGTAATAAGGAGTCGCGGGTGCAGAATTCTGCGGTTCGCGGTATCGAGGTGCCACAGTAATCGCGGGAACACATTTGCAGGGATTCTCGAGAATTGTGTCTATCTGTCTAATAAACGCAAGCCACGGCGCCCAATTTCGTCTCGGGGCTCTCGGAATGTCGATCATGGCGTTCGCGCGACACGCCTGCGCGAGAATAGTTTGCACAATGCAGTCTCGAAACTACGGATGGCAAAGCGATATTTATTCCCGTTTCTGTCGTGGCGCACGACCGGAATTGCAGCGGTGCCGCCATGTATGGCGCCGCCACGGCGAATCGATGTCTTTCGTTTTGCTCCCCCAGCACGACGTCTTTGAAAAGATGCGGCCGAGTTTCCAGATCGTATCTGTTGGATGTCCCACTATTGCCGGCCTATATTTTGCAGCGCGATTGATATCTTAATTAACGGTTGAACATGAAAATGCCTCTCTCGTGCCTCTCTCTATTAATCAACCTAAATCAACAAATTATAAAGTCAGAAACTGTAAAACGAAAAAACGTCATTTCTCAATCAACTTTTCAAATAATAATTATCAACGATATTAAATAACAAAGTTATTAAAAAATCTAAGTATTAAAAAATATTAAAAATATAAAATTACAAGATATTACGAGTATTAGTTTGCAGAAATTATTTTTAAAGGCAGAATTAATTAGAGATCAGAAAATATTCTGATATTAATTTTTAATCATTTACGTGCTTTGAGTTTTGCATATTTAAGGAATCATTAATACGTATTGACATTAATTTAATAACGATATTGACGATGTTTAAAGCTCTACGACGAGTAAAGCCCTCATGTAAAGAGATTAATAATTTTCATCGCGGATCGTTGAGTCACCTCACCTGATTAAATGTCCCGCGATATGCTGAGTAATCGATTACACGGAATGTCATTAACTTACAAAACCTCACTGCGGTTTCGCGATCATGTAGAAATCTACCGTGACACAGCGCGGTGTCATCTTTTATGATGTAATTATGGAGAAGTAATCATACGTTTTCTTACGTCAAGAAAGCCCGGTTGCAATAATTTAATTCGAATAATGGTCTGCTCTCGTATCGTGGCACAGTATTCACGACCGCAATGCCACTTAATGGCAGTGTCGTTACACGGCCCGGCTTTATTACTGTACACCCACGTTGTTACAGCCCATTGAATTTTCATGAACATGTTACGAATATAACGGCTTGTTGAGGTTTCTTCAGTTTTATTACTAAAGTACAAAGCATAAGCATTAATACCGTTAAAAATTCCACCATGACACTACAAGTTTAGCGGGTTTCATCGTGACATGCCCGTTAGTTCATTTTAATTTCGTCTGGCAAAGCCTAATTTAGACATCTACACGCAATTCGCACTTAGGTCTAAAGTACAATATAGAACAGTCGATAGCTCTAACTGTATTAGATAATCGATCGCATTGAGTACGATTAGCTCATAAAGTCATATAACGCTCTCGAGATCGCACAGCGCCACTTCATCATTACGCTCCTGTTTCTCTCTACGCGTGAATTCGCTTAACGCTCGAATAGTCAGAGGTTGCGGTGAAATAATTGAGCTGTAACCAGCGCAAACGTGCCAGCGCGCGCGCAAAGAGGTGAGAAGCCAGATCGGTATAACGGAAGTCACTTAAATCGAATTATATCACACAGGCTGGTACATCGCCACGCGTAGAAATGATTTGATTTCGGTCCCCCGGTGAATATCGGAATAACGGAAATCACGATTGTGATGCGAACTTCAAAGAAAGAGTCGCGGGATAAATGCAGCATTATCGTTTCTCCGTATGGTACGCGACAGTATTGACAGAACGATTTACATGTGCTTCGCGTTGGATTTACCAGGGATTTATTTTTCTACCTATCAACTTTTCGCGTCTCACCGGCCGGCAAATTAAACGGAAATGGAATAAAAAAGAAAACTGAAAGGAAACGAGAGAAACGTAATATCGTACGATGTAATATTATCGTGATGCTTATCTTCCGCCTCAAGGATAAATCGTCGTTGCATGAAAGTAATCTTCCGAAGGGGGGGCTCTTATGTTACGTTTTTCCGTGGTGCTATCAATTTACCATTATCTCGCGCAATGGATACATATGCCCATGGTGGAATATATATAGCTTTTCTAGAGAGCAAATGTGTGTCGCAGGCGCAATACAAAATCAAGCAGCTCGGTGCGCCTTCGATACGAAACATTGATCCAAGGTCCAAGAAAATAGCGAGATATCCAATCTTTCTATACACGCTTCACCGCCCGCGCAACAAGAAGCTGACTAAAGCAAGCAAGGCGAGCTCGCACGATTACTTGGTTCGTTTCCTACGGCACTCCACCTACTTTCCGAACCCGAATCCATCGCGCCGCATCGGGTTCTCAGCAAGCACTTCTTGACTTCGCTATCTCCCGCACTGAAATACTTAATCAAAGGAGAACAGCGGCCGAACTTCGAGGCAAACAGAATGTGAATATGT